AAAGCCCGAAACCCTAAACCCCTTAAACCCGGGGACCTGGACCCTCAACTCGCCCAGCCCTGAACCCAAAAGAAGTGGTTCAGGGTTTAGGGTTTAGGGTTCAGGGTTTAGGATTTAGGGTTCAGGATTTAGGGTTTAGGGTTCAGGGTTTAGGGTTTAGGGTTTACGGTTTACAGTTTAGGGTTTGGGGTTTAGGGTTTCGGGTTTAGGGTTTAGGGTTCAGGGTTTAGGGTTTAGGGGTCACAATATAGGAGCCTTCACACGTAATATAGGGAGGGGCCTTAAGAATTAGAATAGTGAGTGGGTTTGGGGGGCCCTTATACTGTGATTATAACAAGGAACCCCCAACATAATATAGGTAATTGTTACGGCCCCTACAGCAGAACAGGGTTTTGGAGGTATGTGGTAGTATCATGTATAATAATGAGGAACCCAAAGGAAAAATATCGGTACGAATTGAGGATTCTATAGTAGAACCCGTAACGAACCCTGACAGAACCCTCGAAGAACCTGATAGAACCCTCAACCCCAAGATCGGCGAAGGCCTCCGTTCTCCGGATCGCCCCAGGTCACGATGGCTCCATCCGCTCTCATCGCTGCAAAAGCGCTGCTCGTGGCTTGGATCTGCTGCACGTTCACCAGCTGCTTCTGCCTCAGCTACAAGGGTTCAGGGCTCAGGAGGTTTAGGGTTTTGGGTTCAGGGGTTGAGGGTTTCGGGTTTACAGGTTTTAGGGGTTTTAGGGCCCAGTTAAGGGTTAAGGGTTTAGTGCATTTTAACATATAGGTTTCCCTGGTTTGTCTCAGCCGGCTTTGACTGGAGCGCAGGGCTTGGGGGATTTTGACGAGCCTTTTCCTTCAGGGACCCAGGTTTCGGCTTTCTTTGCACCTGCATCTTAGGGTTTAGGGTTTAGGGTTTAGGGTATCATTCAGGTGGTTTTGTAAGGTTTCTACAGCTGTAAGGTCAAGGCTTTAAGGTCGCAAAATTACTACCTCAGGTTCAGGCTCGAAACCAGCAGCTAAGACGCCTCAGAGGTCGGGGGTGATTAATCAATCCTCTAGGCCCAGGTCCAAAACTGGTTTGGAGTTTCTTGACGCCTTTTTCCAACCGAAGAGCCCGATTGGGCAGAGGCCTTTCCAAACCCTAAACCTTAAACCTTAAACCCTAAACCCTAAACCCAAACCCTAAGGCCGGGAAGCCCGAAACACAATGCTTCACTGCTCGTTGAGAGCAACGCAGCAGTTTTTTTGTCTTGGAGACCCTTTAGAACAAAGAAGGGCTCAAAAAATCAATCCTAGGTAGAGTCAAGCATTCTCTGCTCTATACATGGGGGTTTCCGAAAATAGGGGGCCCTAATTAGTATAGTGCCCTAAATAGCAAGATCCTCATGATAAGGAGCCCAAAAAAGGCACCCCTTGCTTTCGGAAACTCCCACAGCGATCTCGCCGCAATAAGACCCAGCAAGGGAACCCAGCCCTTTCCAGAGCGACCCCCAAATGCAACCCCGAAAGTATAGAGCCCCTTATAGTAACAGAAACCCGTGCCCTTGCGAAAGCCCTTGTAAGCCCTTTGTAAAGCCCATTCTTCAAGAATTCTAAGACGTTATAAGACCGAAAGACTCCAAATCTATCTAAATCCTCTCGACTTCCCTGTAAACCCTATCAAACCTGATTTAAAACCCCTTAAGGACCCTAAACCCTTAATAAACCCTAAACAAACCCTAAACCCCAAGCCCCCAAACCATAAGATCCCAGGCTCACTAGCTCGCTGTCTCCCCCCGCGCTAGCTTGGCCCCAGGTCGCCACGGAGCCGTCCTAATCAGGGCTTTCGAGGAGTTTAGGGTTTAGGGTTTAGGGTTGAGGGTTTAGGGTTCCAAAGTAGAGAGCTCCTTCAGTTTAGCGTCTGGGGGTTTTCATACCTCAATACAGGGTTCATACTTGAAGGATTCAAGATTTATCGTTTCAGAGTTTTGGGTTCAGGGGTGTGCTTTATTTGATGCTTCGATTTAGGGTTTTAGGCTTTACGGTTTCTTAAGAGTGAGGTTTCGAGGTGTAGAGGTTTAGGGTTTAGGGGATTGGGCTTAAGGGCTCTTATGCGGCTTTAAAGTTTAAAGCGTCTAGGGATGTGGGGGATTAATGTGTAAGTGTTTCTGATTTCCACCTTTTGTCATGAACTTTCTCGGTGTTGTCAGGGGTTTGGACGTCAATACTGGAGTACTCAACCCTACACCTTAGACCCTAGACCCTAAACCCTAAACCCGAAACCCTAGAACCCTAGAGCCCTAGAACCCTAGAACCCTAGAACCCTAAACCCAAAACCCAAAACCCTTAGACCAGTTGTCAGCGATCAACCTTGAAGCCCAAGGATCACCCAGGATGGCCGCAAAAGCCGTGGAAGAGGCAGCCACCGCCACCTCCGGGCGTAACGAAGAATTCCGAGGTATCCGAAACCCTAAACCCTAAACCCTTAAACCCTAAACCCTAAACCTCTAAACGCCTAAACCTCTAAACCCCTAAACCCTAAACCCCTAAACCCTCTAAACCCTAAACCCCTGAACCTCTAAACCCCTAACCTCTAAACCTCTAAACCCTAAACCCCTAAACCCTAAACCCCCAAACCCAAAACCCCTAAACCCAAAACTCAAAAACCCTAAACCCAAAACCCCTAAACCCCCAAACCCCTAA